TTTTGTAGAACATTGGAATACATTTTCAAAAAAGGAGGCTGACAAAATCGGGACATTACTGTATACCATTTACATTTACATGATTTATCACATATTTCCGGAAATCTTCGAGGTTGGAGCGTAGTTGCTTTTGTAGATGGGCACGTCATTTGCCGGTTTCTCGTGAATTGGGGCTCAGTTTGGAAACACTAATAACACAAACAGGTAGAAGAATATTTCCTCTATGATTTGGTATAGTTTGTTTGCCGGATTGTTCTTTTGTTCGCGGGAGACCGGTGATTGGCGTGTTTGATTGCAATTGCGCCCAGAACTCGGGGTTCTCCGGATTTATGGTCGTAATCTAATACACACAGTTGATCACAATACGAGCCTAAAAGCTGCAGTGACCTAGTGAGCACCATAGCTCGAGTCGCCTGAAAGTATTGTGTATCGCATGGAGAGCCCAACCGAGATGCTAGCCTATTAAGACTGCAGTTGGTCAACTATCGAAAAAAAAATTATAAAACTAAATAAAACGTTCCGATTCGCAATTGATTTTTATCACTTATAAATGTTGTAAATAAATAAATAACAGAAACCTATCAAATATTTCCTGAAAAAAATTAAACACTTTTATCATCATAGAGAACAATACTCCTTTCTGGTGAATTGAGCGAACAGCAATATGTTTATTTACTTTGCTCGTTTGGTTCAGCGTTTGACGGTTCGTTTTGTTCTTCTTGTTTCAGTCTCACGCTCGTTCGAGGGTACTCAAAACTGAGTTTGAGTTACTCATTTTTATATCTTTATTTGAAACGTCAACGAATGAGTGGATTAGATTTATAAATTTGAGGAACATCAACTCATAGCGAATTCGTTTATTATCGGGTTTGGAACCAGTTCCTACCCGTGCGAACCCGAACTTTTTGTCAGTGCGAACCTCGACCCGTGCCAGGTTTTAAAAACAAACGATCAAACTGACGTTTGCTAGAAAACAAGCAGACCCAATCTTGATACCCGATCCAGGTTGGAACTAAATAATAAACGAATTCGCTATCAACAAAAAATAAATAAGTATGGATCTCAATTATGAGTTTTCAGCTTGTAAATTGGCGTTGACGAGAGCTCTGTAACTCTTTACTCCTATGGAAAAATCTCATATGTACCTGTCAGTCTATGTGTGCAACATGGCGGACTTTTTCTTATTCTCTCACTCCAACGCAAAACCCCATAAAGAACTGTCAAAATGTGTGTGAAGAAACGTCACTTCGGGACTGGTGTCAAGGCGAATTGACTCAAAACAAAAATCAAAATGGCGTTTGTGAAAAAGTTATAAACACGAAGTTCATCTTTCCGGTATCTAAAACAAAAATTAACAATTTTGAAAGAAAACTGGAGCAGACTGCAGCCACGGTTGATGTGATCAAACACATGATTATACAGGAATTTTATTCAAATGCCTCTTATAAACTCTCATAAATTCGCTCAGGTTCAGGATGGTAAGTACTTATCCTCGCTGTATTTGAATTGCATACTAATTTAATCCCACTCAAATTTCAGAATACTTCCGGGCATTACAGAGTTTTAATGACAAGATGCCAGTTCTTCACTGAACCAATTTGACATATTCCTGTTATGTGGAAGTCTAATAATTTTGCGCTATAAGATAATCCATTGAAAATGATATGATTGAAAATGTGTCAGGTAAATTCTATATGAATATCTGATACATTGACAATGCTGATAATTTGAAAACTTTTATATGATCGCCATATGATAAATGAAAATCATAATAATTAACTGAAATGGATTTGAAACCCATAAGCATAAGCTTTACTTTTCACCACAATATAATATATGTGTCATAAATCAATCGAAGTAAAGTTTATGTGAAAATCACATGAAATTTACTTATTCTTTTGACACATATATTTAATCGATTTCTAAAAATAAATCGAAAAATAAACACCAGGCAGTGGGAGCTTTCACAGTTGTGCCTTTTTTTAATTGTAGCTGATTTGGGATTCGATCAAGATCTGTTGAGGTGTGATGCTTTCGGTGTCTGTGCTCGATTCCACTGGGCCACGGCTGACTTCAAGATTGAGCTCGTTCAATTAGCATGAAGTAATAACAGCTCTCCCAACATGGAATATAGAGCAACGTTTTGCTAAAGTGAAGAAAAATATCACTGACCAATATATGCTCCGTTTCAGTGGTGTCGTGCAATAAAACAACGACTACAGTATATGAATTCATGGAACTGGTTCATGAAGTTCGAGTACTAGTGCTGGAATCTGAATTAGCCGTGTAGAAGGCTTACAATTAGAATGTTAGCAAATAAATATTGCAGTAGAATCATTTTTTTTTTTTTCAATCTCAAAACATTCTTTTCCGGAACCCCTTATCTTATGAAATAATAACAAACAATGATTATTTATTACAGTATCATTGGTGTTAGCAATATTTAGTTCGACTAATCATTCTAATGAGTGTACGATAACATAGTTGAAAATTGTTTCAATAATTTATAAAGAACAATTATGTAAGATGTATTTTATTGGGAGCGATACCCTAATAAAAATTGTATGGTTAATTTGCTTAACGACGTGTTCTGGGTATCATCCAAACCATTTGTGGAATAGTTCAATGATTTGGGTTATCGTTCGTTTATGGTTATTTTTTATTAGGGTATTCATCCCAGAAAAACATGCAAAAACAAATGCTTGCTGTTGGATTTCTTAAAAGGCATTTCTATATGACTATTTAATGATTGGGATAGATCTGTTTACAATCTTTAAACGTCAAAAATCAAAGCAAGCTATTACAATGAGATATACATGTTTTCCTATACTGCAAAGTTAAATGACAGTCCAATAGTTTCTACATGTCTGTTTACACGCGACATATCAACAAACGTCAAAAATCGTTAAAAGCAACTCCAATAAAATATACATGATTATCTTATATGATATATCTTTTAGTGAGCAATATTCATCATGAAAACAGGTACATTTTACTCGATTTGCTCATAGTGCAAACTTATATGATTTTCCATTAGTTTCTAGATGCCTGTTCCCACCCATGACATATCAACAGTTTTTCACCATGAAATATATCAGACAATATTCATATACATCTTACCTATCGCTAACCACGGTCGAAGCAAAGTATTATCACAAACGAAGTGACAGACGGAGCGGCTCGAAAACTTTGGTGACTAACCTGCTATTGCAATTTTTCAGTGTACCACATGGCAACACCACTACTACTGGATTGTACCACATGGCAACACTACTATCATAGAGGTAACTCTAAGACCACTGGGTCCCGAAGAAAATCATTATTATTTTTGGCTCACTCAGTACCAGAACAACGGTCCCAAGCAGTCCCAAGCTATTTCACTCACCCCTGCATGTTCTGCATGAATCCACACACCCCTGATGTTATCTGTCAAACTTTCATAGCGAATCAAAACAAACATAGTGTAGTAATAGAATTTCAACTAGAATAGGGTACGTTAATCGTTTGCTTGGGACCAATAGGCTACTAAAGTGGTGAGCCAATTTAAAATCGTTAGTTTCGTATTGATTGTTGCTACTATTGGATTGAACTAGCATTTTCACCAAATGTACTAGAATATTTTGGTTCTATCTCTTTCACTCTACTCAAAACTGAAATGCATAAAAAAATGACAAAATGATACGCACTCTTTGCACACTGTCAAAGAATCATTGTACACAAAATCAACTTTGTTCAAATCAAAACAAAAAAGCTAACCCATCTGGTGGATGATGGCACAAGCTTCCAAGAAAATTCTATTACAGTGAACCACATTATTTTAATGGATTTCTTCACCAGTTAGTCGTCTGTCACTTCGTTTGTGGTATTATCAAGTACTAAGTATGTGAAATTACGATAGAAATCATTCCATATCGCAGTCATAGTTTTTAAGTGATAATCCATTGGAATCTATCAATCATCACATAGAATGAATAAATCTCCTGACATTGCTATGTTATAAGATGGATCCAATAAACGGTACATGTCGATTTGTTTCAGTGTTGGAAACCACCGAAAAGTAAAATTGAATCCGTCGATGGACGAGGAACGAGCGATTCATCCTTTGGTCTATTGGGTAGCGGTAAGAAACATTCAGATATTCATTGCATTTGTGAAATTTAATGATCTAAATGACGGCCTTCAGAAAACGCATTGATGGATCACATGTCCTCACTCAATAGTGTTCCCCACCCGCATATCGTATGCATTGCCAATCCTATGAGTGCTGGAAAGCTTTACTTCGTGATTAGCAACCAAGTTTACGTGGAAGCGAAATCGTCCATTTACGGCATCGATTTTTTGTTAAAACATTTTCCGGTCTTCGGAAATAAAGTTCCTACTGGACTTATTATGTTGATCGATTTCCTGGCAATCGTTCTCTACAAGACACTGAATCACAGCACAAGAACGATGGTCAACAGACTCGCCGCCTCATTAAAAGAAGCAGCACATACTGAAGATCGAGAATGAGATGATTTTTTCTGTGACCTGTTACCTATATCACATTACTTACATGAGCATGGAATGAAATAAAGTCACTTGATTCTTTTTAATTTAACATAATGTTTTTCGTTTTTGCTTCACAATCACAAAAAGAAAAAAGAAATTATTTTTACATATTTGCTTATTTTTCACCCATTTTACTACATTTTTTATCTAATGGAAATGAGTATAAATTACTCGAACATAAATATACGCCTGGTTTAACTCAAAATTGAGTTCTGCATAAGTTACTCAAATTGGGGTATATCCAGTTTTAATGAAATTGAGTGGTTTTCCACTCAATTTAGAGTATTCTTGAACGAGCGTCTTCCACCCAAATCCGTCAAAACTGGATTTGGGTGGATGCTACCCAACTTTGGGTAGTTTCGAAATAGCGTGTATCATATATCCAAAAAATAATCCGCTACACCCTCTCTGGAAATCACCACTCACCAGTCGTTTCGCCAAATCTGTCACATATATTAGTCATTCCATCAAACTCCTAGCGATAGATTAAAACTTTAGGTGAAATTTGTAAAAAATAGCCTAAAAATTGTATTTGTAGCCGATAACAGTGATCGCCGGGAGCAAGGACAGTTCGTGACGTGAAAAAATCAGTGATTTTCGGCCACCAAAGTGTTTTTATAGTGAAGAGTTTTCTCTCGGGTACGAAAAGCTTAGCGAGCGAAAAAGATAGAGAAGCAATGGATAGCAAAGGCAGAAATGTAATTGTTTGCGATAATGGAACCGGGGTGAGTTTATTTTTCGTTTGATAAGAGAGACCACTCCCTGTTACACGTTCGCGGTTTTAAGCACATATTTTTTAAACGCGTACTGGTCACTTATACCTACTTGAATTTCGAAAAATAGGATCTTGGCAAAAATGTCCATGGGAGACCTCTTCTTAAATAAAGATCATTTGTGACAAAATATGGCGAATGTTGTTTAATCACTTCTTTTTTTTAGTTTGTCAAATGTGGGTACGCGGGCAGCAACTTCCCAGCGCATATTTTCCCATCGATGGTCGGCAGACCCATCATCCGTGCGGTGAACAAAATCGGTGACATCGAAGTGAAGGTAAGCAGATCTAGTTTATTTTTGGGTGGTAAAATACCCACTCTCATTTACACCATTTATTCATCATTTGGAAAGTATTTTCTTTCAACATGGAACATTATTTATCATGAATTTGCTAGAGAGTGTAGGAGTTTGATACTGATACAGAACAATTTAACTTTTACAGGATTTACATGTTGATGTAAGTCGTTTTGGTATCCCTTTTGTTGTTACGGATCCAAGCAGGAGCAGGTTTTTATGCGCTAGAGTGTTCTCTAGAATGTTTCTGTTTGTTTACCTACGTTGATTTTCTTATTTTTCTTTTGTTTGATTTTTACGATTTGAAGATTGTTTACTAACTTGTATTTCTGTATTTAACACATTCCATCGAACATCAAAATCATCATTGGGTATTTGCACAGCTGTATACTGCCGTTATACGCATAAGAGTCCCATGATGTATAAGGATTGCATATCACATGGGACAGTTATGCGTATAACGGCAGTATAAATTCTGAAAAGTTTCTAGCTAGACCATTCCTAGCAGTGCATCCGTTCAACAGAATGTCAACTCTTGTTCTATTAAACAATTGACTTTTGCTTGAACAAAACAGTACTATTAGCTTTCGTAAAGCACCTTTATTGCGCTGCATAACTTGTGACACTCAATCTCTGTGTTATTTTTTTTATTTTCCCTTTTTCTCATTTATCATGCCACAACATAACAATCTAATCTAACTAATCCAATGATCTTGGTAAATCACTTCCATCGACCATCTGAAATTTGAAACCTAACTTGATTTCAAATTCGATAACCCTACTCTAAATGTGCCTTGTCGTAACTACTTTGCTATTGCATTCTTCGGTGTGTTATTGCCATGTAACAATAAGGATGTTGAAGCCACTACTACGCTGCCTGTATGTATTACTTGAACAACACGTATGTCCCATTTTATCCGTGAATCCAGAATTGTTGCTTTCCGCTAGATTGAGTTGACCGGAATGGATAGGTACCGTTGATGGTAATTTACTAAAAAGCAATTGTATGCATAACACTAATACAGAGTTTCTTTCCCTACCGGTTCATCCGTGTCTACACTTGATAATTACAGTAGGTGTATTCACAAAGCGCATCGTAAACATATACACCCTCGTAAATTCGTAAACTTCCATCACACTCCAATGGACCCTGATAGTTTTAAGATAGTGTATTTGTTTACGATGCGTACCAAATGTTGTTAGCTGAATGTGGGGCAAGATGGATAGGCTATACTGCCGCTCTTCGCATGTCGGTCTCATAGTCGTTTTTGTCAAAACCGAGTTTTTCAATGCAAATGGTAGCTAATTACCCGTTTTTACATAATACTGGATGAACCCAACAACTTTGTTCTGAAAAAGTTTGGAAAGACAGTCAATTGGTTGTCCCATCACAAAACAAACAATGGTACGAAGCAAACTTAAAACGCAATTTTATCGGCTTGCTGATTTTCGCTAGGAGCGGACATGCGAAGAGTGGAAGTTGCTACTCTGTTATTGTAAAACCAGCTGTAATTACACAGAGAACCAATAGACGATGTTTGGGACTAGCAATCATCCTCAATGTGTAAAAACTGGTGATCTCAAACTAGGCAATACCAGCGTCGGTCGCGCCCAAACACAGGTCAAGAAAGGAAGGGTTCACAATGTGTTGACGTGACACACGCTTTGATGGAAGCCGAGAATACCTCTGCACTTCCACGAGGAATCACTGGGATATTGGGTTATAGGGTTGGGTTTGTGAGCAGGGTTCGTTTTGGTAAACGATAAACTGAATTGATGTCCTAACGGTCATATAACGCGAAGGAGCTTGGGAGTGAACCCAGTCTTCTGCTCAGTAAGCAAAACGTTTGCCACTAGGCAGACGAGCATCGAGTTGCTGTTATTACCATGTAGTTATGTTAATAAATAAAACGATTGACGAATCTTGGATGTGAATGGGCTTGAGATTAGACTGATGATGTTCTGCTCTCAGTAAGCAAAAACGGTTGCTCTAAGGCCACCGAGCCCCTCATATCACATTATGCCGTTACTCAAGTTGTTATAACTATTTAAACCCGGTACCTATGACAGCGAAAAGTTTTACAAAATACACGATAAACAAGCGAACTTACCATACATGTTTAATATGAAAGGACCACCTAGGGCGGCATTTTTCTGCTCAGTAAGCAAGCCATTGCAACCGACGATCTTTCAAATCCGAAAACTAAAAGCTACCAAAGAGTACTTAGGCCTTCATTGAGTTCCACTTTCACGCGACGTTCAATGTTTCAATTTGCTCTTTACGCATTGTTCAGGCAATCATAACAAGCTATGACCGACGTGACGATTGTTTAAGCTCTGGTTAAACAAGCTATTCAAAAGAAATACCTTTCTCGAACTTAACTTGGTATGTAATGAACAACATAAATACGCGATAATTCATATAATTTCAGCGGTAGATGGTTAATTTTAAATATACTAACGGTACTGCATACGGCGACTACGACGACGACAACAGCGAATTTGTGACTTACCATTTGTCTAGGATATAACACCTTTGCCCGGCACCTCCACTTGAGCTTCATGTGTGCTATCTGCCACTGTTTGCAAAAATATCTAATAGCAATTACCTTTGTTGTGATACTTCCTTCAACGAAAACAAATTTTCTTGCATTACCATGGTTATATGGGAGGAGTTTCGCGTCTAGTGCTTTCCCCAGGAACCGTTCACGGCCACCAGCTACCGCCCGTCCAGTCTTGGGCGTATCCAGCGAGGCATCCTTCAGTTTGCTCACAAACTCCGACACTGGCTAGAGACCAGCAGACGAGCACTTTTGCAAGCCGTAAACTCGCTGATTAACGGTAACGTCAGCCTCCGAATCGCCACCAAAACTCGCAACGGACACATTATAAGCACTTTCCCCGGCTAATTTACCAACCGGACACGGTGACGAGACTCTCGATAGAACTACACGCCGGAAGCGAGATATCAGAACACGGTGAACCGGCCTCCCGATAGGCAATGAAAATCACAAGCACACTTAAACGCTGTCCAGACTGGAGAGTTATAACATGTTATAACGGTTGTCAAATAATTGCAACACAGACTACAGAGTTATAACATGTTATAGCGCTTTCTTGATGGTGGTTTCTGTGTTGCAATTATTTGACAACCGTTATAACATGTTATAACTCTCCAGTCTGGACAGCGTTTTAAACGCTGTCCAGACTGGAGAGTTATAACATGTTATAACGGTTGTCAAATAATTGCAACACAGAAACCACCATCAAGATAGTGCTATAACATGTTATAACTCTGTAGTCTGAACGTACTATTACACACCGCTGGTTACAAAACACTTCTTCTTTTTCTTTCCTTTATTTAACGTCGGTCTTTGTCCCGCAATCTAGTGCCAATCACCGACGGACATCGATTGCCATCCATTGACGGTAATCAAATGTGCACGAAAGCAACTTCCACACCTGTGTAGGATATCGCACCCATTCAACATGGGTCGGGACCAACGGCTTTACTTCCCTTCCGCAGGAAGACGTGACGAGACATTTTTATGCCTTAGAAAAATCCCACCGACCTCGGCTGGGATTGAACCCAGACCCATTGGGTTGATAAAGCAGTCACGCTTACCACTACACCACCAGCGCCGGCTACAGAAAAACACACCCGTGCAAAGAAACGGATCCAATAAACGTCACTCTCGCGAAAGCAAACCCGTCTTTGAACGGCAAAAAAAAGAACTCCGTGAGCAATTTTGTGATACAGAAATTTCCAGGGAAAATCAATCGGGAATGCACGAGTTTCACCACACCCAACTGCGAAACACGTTCAGAAGCACTTTTGATACACTTTCGGTATCAATTTCGGTCGAAACACTTAATTTTTTTGCAAAAATAGTTGCGAGCGAACCAACATCAACTCCGACCGTGCCGAGCTCTTTCACGCATCTTACAGCGTGTAAATAAACTGAAATTAAAAATTATCACTCGCAATGCCACAAATTTCTGGTCCGGGAGAAAATAAATCAAACAACGTAGATAGCGACATCTCGTCTGATGCTTGCAAACATGATGAACCACGTTTTCTTTCACGATTCTAAAGCGAACCCCACACGATTGAATATGTTGAAGCGAAGGGGAATTATTGACAATAATATTGATGATGTGAACACAGAAATATTGTTAATACCGATGTATTGACGTCAATATAGAATGTATTGACGTCAATATAGAATGTATTGACAATACAATTATTGTCAATAAAAGCAATCGTGTAAGGTCCACTTAAAACTTCCCGGAAAGCGAGAAAACCACCAATCACACACGTATAACCGTCCGGGAGGCAGAGTGCCAGCTCTAATCCGGCAAATGCAGCCGAAAAACTATGAAAGCGAACGCACGCACAAAACAGAGAGCAAACTTAAAACACAACCGTATCCGAAGAGGTTCGAAACTGCACTCCCGGACATGCGAAGAGCGGAAATATAGTACATTTATTAATTTATTTGTTTGTCAAAATCAACGGATTCAATGCAATTCCAATGATAGTTTGCTTTTTAAAACCAGCCTGTTGATGTTACCAATAAAAAATCAAGTAGAAGACCCGTGGTACAATCTTACCCTTAATGGGGTGTTTACACTTGTGCTAGCAAAAAAGCTCACCAGCATAATGTAAATAGGGCACCAGCGTCTACCAGCATGAGATTTCAGGAGCAACTGGTACACTAGCGCTAGCAATTCCGCACAGATGTAAATACCACATAAGGCCGCGGCCAGGGTAGACGCGACACGCGATGCGACTCACGCAAGAAATAATAATAAATAATAAGATTCTTTTGAATTGGTCGCGAATCGTGGCCACCACCTCAAACAAAAATTAATAAGCAAAGACTTTTTATATAGCACCTGAAAAAAGCGTTTAGGGGCTATTCATAAACCACGAAGGAGATTGAATGTACCACTCCACAGAATATATCATATTCCAGAAAACCATTCCCTTCCTTGGTCTATTCCATTCCCAAGAAAAAATAAAAAGGTATTCTTGAGTTTCGTTTTGTGGTTTTGAATACTACTTAAATAAGGAACATTTGTTTGTCCACAATCTAAAGAACGATTGAAAATATATAATTTCTATTTGTATGCCGATCGACCAATATGTTACCATAAATA